CCCCAAAACCCCAAAACCCCAAAACCCCTCTTGCATAGTCCATAGTTGAACCAAATTTCTATTGAACTTGTGGGTGTTTCGAGAGGATGGAATTACTCTTGGGATGCCTCCTTTCCTGCTTTCTCTATCTCTCTAAAGGCTCTCATGAACAGATCCTTTCTTAATTTCTCCCTGTGACTGAGAAGGTGATCTTCCTGATCGAAAATCTCAGGCTTAATGCTCTCAGTCTCTATAGCATATTTAAAAGCCTTAATATCAGGCTTATAATGACTTCTGAGGTATTCTTCTGAGAAATCCTTATAAACAGAGAACATGCTCGAGACTATAGAAGTTAGAGGTTGCCATACCAATAGCCTTGTGGTCTGGGAATTCCTCAGGAGATAGCACATCCATCAACTTGTTATCTTTCAGTGCTTCTTGTCTAAATCCAAACACCTCATCGAACTTGTCAATTCAGTTAATATATGTTTCTCCCTCATCGACTGCTATTTCATATTTATGCCCATTCTCAGTTTGAAATTGCTTCTTATATCCATCTTTAAATGCTTTCTTGTTAAGGTATTCAAGCTCGAATTTTATGATTTCTGGTTGATAATATCATCACCTGTTAATAGTGTCATCCCTCTTCTCAGCAACCAAAGGATGTGCTGGATATGCAGCTTCAAATGGGAACCTAGCTCCAGTATTGTATAACGAATTTAATGAGTACCCTGCTGCGATCAAAGCACAAGTAAGTGCAGAGAGGTATCCTGATTTAAGCGGCCTGATAACCCCGTATACGACCACTCCTAATATCACAGGATGGTAGATATTACTGAGCACATGGTGATGGATCTCGCTCTTGATCCTTCTCCGGTAGTCATACAGTTCTGGGTCATTCTTTACCTTATGGTTCTTCAGGAAGTACTTAAAATAATCATTCTGAGCTTTTAAATATTGAATTCTCAGATCACCTTGCTCTCTAAGTTTCTGACTAATAGACTTGCTCCTCTGCTCATTCATGATATGAATCTAAAGAATTATTTCTGAGGATATACTTTCTCTTGGCGGGTCTTTTGGTCACGTAACTTCTGCTTTAGAGCCTCAGCATCTTTCCGGCCAGGTTTCTCTTCTTGAAGTAAGTTAGTGAACTGCTTTGCACTACTTGTGAGGCTCTGAACTAGCTCTTTAGATTCTTCCTCGATGGCTTTCTGTTCTTCTAATTTTTTTTTGCTGACCATTAATTATCAATAAAGCATTAATTTTTAGGGGTTTTGGGGTTTTGGGGTTTTGGGGTTTTGGGGTTTTGGGGT